GAAAATCCTAGAGGGACTAGTACCGAACTTGCACACGAAAATCACTCACTACGAAAGCAAAAGACTTGGCAGACGATGCAACATCCCCCCAATGAAAAGCAGGGGTGTCACTAGCACGTTAAGAGACCATACAATAAGTGTCAGGGGCCCGAGACTGTTCAACTGCCTCCCTGCACACATAAGGGGGATTACCAACAGACCCCTGGCAGTCTTCAAGCTGGCACTGGACAAGCACCTAAAGTCAGTTCCGGATCAGCCGGGCTGTGGCTCGTACGTTGGTTTGCGTGCAGCCAGCAGCAACAGCCTGGTTGATCAGGCTCTGATCCACCAGGAGGCCTGGTCACAGACCGGGCCGCGGGGGCGTTGACCCCCGGAACTCTCTCCAGGTAAACTCCAGGTAACCCTGCCATCAGATCCTCTATCAACTACTGTTGTCTAACAGTAACCCTGCTATCAGATGCTCTATCAACTACTGTTGTCTAACAGTAACCCTGCTATCAGATGCTCTCTCAACTACTGTTGTCCAACAGTAACCCTGCCATCAGATGCTGTATCAACTACTGTTGTCCAACAGTAACCCTGCCATCAGATGCTCTATCAACTACTGTTGTCTAACAGTAACCCTGCTATCAGATGCTGTATCAACTACTATTGTCCAACAGTAACCCTGCCATCAGATGCTCTATCAACTACTGTTGTCTAACAGTAACCCTACTATCAGATGCTCTCTCAACTGTTGTCCAACAGTAACCCTGCCATCAGATGCTCTATCAACTACTGTTGTCCAAAAGTAACCCTGCCATCAGATGCTCTATCAACTACTGTTGTCTAACAGTAACCCTGCTATCAGATGCTGTATCAACTACTGTTGTCCAACAGTAACCCTGCCATCAGATGCTCTCTCAACTACTGTTGTCCAACAGTAACCCTGCCATCAGATGCTCTATCAACTACTGTTATCCAACAGTAACCCTGCCATCAGATGCTCTCTCAACTACTGTTGTCCAACAGTAACCCTGCCATCAGATGCTCTATCAACTACTGTTGTCCAACAGTAACCCTGCCATCAGATGCTCTATCAACTACTGTTATCCAACAGTAACCCTGCCATCAGATGCTCTCTCAACTACTGTTGTCTAACAGTAACCCTGCCATCAGATGCTCTCTCAACTACTGTTGTCCAACAGTAACCCTGCCATCAGATGCTCTCTCAACTACTGTTGTCTAACAGTAACCCTGCCATCAGATGCTCTCTCAACTACTGTTGTCCAACAGTAACCCTGCCATCAGATGCTCTCTCAACTACTGTTGTCTAACAGTAACCTTGCCACCAGATGCCCTGTGAACTACTGTTGTCCAACAGTAACCCTGCAACAGATGCTCTATCAACTACTGTTGTCTAACAGTAACCTTGCCACCAGATGCCCTGTGAACTACTGTTGTCCAACAGTAACCCTGCCTTCAGATGCTCTCTCAACTACTGTTGTCCAACAGTAACCCTGCCATCAGATGCTCTCTCAACTACTGTTGTCTAACAGTAACCCTGCCATCAGATGCTCTCTCAACTACTGTTGTCCAACAGTAACCCTGCCATCAGATGCTCTCTCAACTACTGTTGTCTAACAGTAACCTTGCCACCAGATGCCCTGTGAACTACTGTTGTCCAACAGTAACCCTGCAACAGATGCTCTATCAACTACTGTTGTCTAACAGTAACCTTGCCACCAGATGCCCTGTGAACTACTGTTGTCCAACAGTAACCCTGCCTTCAGATGCTCTCTCAACTACTGTTGTCCAACAGTAACCCTGCCATCAGATGCTCTATCAACTACTGTTGTCTAACAGTAACCTTGCCACCAGATGCCCTGTGAACTACTGTTGTCCAACAGTAACCCTGCCATCAGATGCCCCATCTCATACACGGTAACACTGCAGTACGCCAGGAGGCCTACTCAAGCCCAGTAGGGCTACTACAGTATATATTTACAGTTTCTATCTCCAGATTTATCTACTACTGCCTCTACCCCTTCCTCATACTTTATATTATCCACCACATTTCTTGTTTTTATTGATACTACTTGCTTTTTTAGATTTTGCCACCGAAGTGGCTAGTTTATTGTGCACCCCATATCCATCCTGTGGACGGTAGCGCGAGAACATATGGATACACAAAAGGCCTAGGAACTAGGCCCCAAAGGGTTAACAGGAATACATATGGATTTATATCTACATATCTATAGTTCACTTATCTGTTACAAGCAAATTTAGGAAATTTGCTTAGTATATCTGGTATCTTATTTTCATTAATAAGATATCTTGACATGTCACATAGGTTATTATACTGTCTGTCTCTGTATTCCTCAATAAGTGGACAATTAAGCACATAGTGTTCAAGAGAGTGACCATATGCCTGATCACATAATTTACATTTAGTTTGATCATCATCTGTGTGTCTCCCAAACTGCCAGAAGTACTTGTTACCAAGCCTAAGCCTGGCCACTACAACATCAGTCAGTACTTGTAACCAAGCCTAAGCCTGGCCACTACAACACCAGTCAGTACTTGTAACCAAGCCTAAGCCTGGCCACTACAACATCAGTCAGTACTTGTAACCAAGCCTAAGCCTGGCCACTACAACATCAGTCAGTACTTGTAACCAAGCCTAAGCCTGGCCACTACAACATCAGTCAGTGTTCACATTGCAAGTTGCTCAACATACTTATCTACGTTCATGTTATCATAGTGGGTTATAGATCTACTCAGGCTTCTAACTACATTCCTATAACAATCATTTTCATTATTTACTTCTCTCCTAATATTATTCCTAATGCTAGACACATATATACCAAAGTTATATTCTACATTCTCCTTCTGGGTACTCTTCTTGGCTAACATATCAACTTTATCATGAAGGAGTAATCCAATGTGTGATGGGATCCATAGCAATTGTACATTAATTCCTTTGTCCCTAATTTTTGAGTATCTATACCTGGCTTTTTCCAATGAGCATGTTGTTGGAGTCATTATATGAGTCAAGAGCCTTCAATGATGACATAGAATCAGTAATGATGATAGAGTCAAGCTCAGTGTCATAGGTTAGCTTTAGCGCCATTAGGATTGCAAACAATTCAGTTTACAGTGCAGACGCCCAGTTGTTAATTCTTATGCCTAACTCAACAAATTTATTATCGTTCTTAACTAGGGAGGTGGCAACAAGAGCAGATGCAGCCCTGCCAGAAGACCTCCTGTTTAGATCCATCATGTATATAACTTGTGATAACTTATTACTAGCAGCTAGGTGAGAAATTTCTTCTTGAGCAGTTGCTCTAACAAGAGATTTAAGGAAGGGATTACTAGCAATGAGCTTCTTGGGAGGGACTTGTAGGTATGTGATATTAAATGAACACATCTTCCATGGAGGGGTGAAATGCTCTTGTTGCCTACAGTGATACAGTTCATGCAGGTTATAAAACTTAATGCAATTGCACGTTTTCACAATCCATTTAGATCTGTGTGTATTTACCTCTAGACACTTGGTAAGATTCATTGTGACAGTGTCTGGTTCGTTTCTCAACATTCTAATACCGAGTACAGTGTTAATTTCAACAATCCTCATGTTAAGAACTTTTGTAGATCTGGGACAGCCAAGAATAATCCTGAGAGCTTTATTTTGCATTAACTCCAAGGGTCGGAGAGAACTTTCTCTAGCTAATATCAACATGGGAGCAGCATAATCAATTAAGGACCTAACATAGGCTATGTACATCATTCTCACGATTCTCACATTTGCACCATAGTTGGGATTGTAGCCAGCAACAGCTTTGAGAGCATTTAGCTTAGCTTTACATTTCTTGTTTAGTTGTGGTATAGTGGATTTGTTAAAGGGTACATCTACACCAAGATATCTGTAAGTTTTAACGTAGCTAATGATTTCACTCTGCAAATAGATGGGTGGGGGATGTCGTTTGCTTGTTAATGTCTTTGTTTTAGAGGAAGATATTATGAGGCCTAGTCGATTACAAATTGCTTGAACTTCATTAAGAATGGTACTCATCTTATGCCCTGTTGTATGGATCATGATATCATCAGCATAGCTTATAGCTATATGTTTAGGTGAGGCAGGTAGAGCATTTAGGAGAGCATTAATCAGAATATTAAATAGCATGGGACTAAGAACTCCTCCCTGCGGTGTACCTAAAGACATTTCTTTAGAATCACTTCTGAAGCCTTGGTAAAGGACAGAGGATACTCTATTTGACAGGTATCCTATTATCCAGCAGAGTAAGCTACCACCAATATTCATTTTGGCTAGTTCATGTAGTATAACGGTTCTGTTCGCAATATCAAATGCAGATTTTAGATCAAGAAAAGTGGTAAAACTAGTAGAGGTGTGTGCAGTGAGAAAGGTGGAAATACAGTTCTCCACACTTTTACCTTTCATGAACCCATAGAGGTAGGGGAAAGTTGGTTTACCTGGAGTTTACCTGGAGAGAGTTTCGGGGGTCAACGCCCCCGCGGCCCGGTCTGTGACCAGGCCTCCTGCTTTAGCTGATTCTTTAGTGGTATTAAATAATAGTTTATGTTGGGTTTAGTGGAGTTGTAACTGTTAATATTATCTTGATATGGGACATAAGAGTAAGTTCAGTCCTGTCTTTTGTTTGTATCGTGTCATTTATAGTTCAGGTTGTTGTATTTATTGTGTATTGTTATTACATTGGCTGAAGTAATTAATAAACCATACCACGGGAGGGGATAGAACCCACGATCAGAGAGTCTCAAAACTCCAGACCGATCGTGGGTTCTATCCCCGCCCGTGGTATGGTTTGTTTGCAATCGTGTCATTGCGATTTCGTGAGTCATGTTGACTAATTAATGTTGGTTACTTCTGATACTCTCTTCAAACAGAACAGTAACCTTATTAAACGTCTTAGTTTATGAATGTTTCCACACACAACACACACACACACACACGGCACACACACACACACACACACCACACACACACACACACACACACACACACACACCAGGAGCCAGGGGCCAGGAGCTAAGACTCGACCCCTGCAACCACAAATAGGTGAGTACCAGAAGCTTGGACTCGACCCCTGCAACCTCAACTAGGTGAGTACACACACACACACACACACACACACACACACACACACACACACACACACACACACACACAAAACACACACACACACTGTTAGAGCTTAATGGAGCTCTAACAGAGCAATGCTGTGCCTCAGTAAATACTTGTACTGTATGCATGTGTCCTGTCTTCAATATCATCAGTAGTTTATCATAATTCAGTAGTCAGTTTGACGGTTGATGAAGATCTATGTCATCAACCTGAAGTGTAATAACTATATAATTTTTGACGGGTTTTTCAATGTATTGGGTTAAAGAAGAATTTCTTGGTGAAGCCGAAGTTATGTAGCTGTGGTGATCCTGTGTAAGAGTTGTTGGTGCACTCCTTGAGTAACTGTCTGTACAAGTCAGCAAGTTCGTGATGATGGGAGTGTTGTGCCAGAGTGCGACACAGAGCAGTGTTGAAGGCAGTACCTTCCTTAGTAAAGGAGTACGAGGTAAAACTTCCACTGCTTGAGTACAGACACACTGTGTCATGTAGGGGTTCCTCTACTCTTGTATACTTGACTCTCTTGTTTCTTCTAACATTCTCCTCCTTGTAGTAACCACAACAAAAGTCAAAGATAAATAATTTGGGTTTATTTTTCAACCCTGGGCATTCTGAGTCCTTAAAAAGTTCACATACCCACTGAGTGCTCAAAACCCTCATGTCACTTGTTAGGAACTTCTCGTTACCGATGCCGTGACTTGATATAATAAAAACCGCACAACCCACACGGTCCAGGAGCTGCATCTCCCTGACACTGGTCAACACTTGCTTGGTCTCTTGTGCTGTCAAGGAACAATGTGAGTGTCCAGTGTAACCCATTTTGCCGAAGACGTTTGACAGGTTCTTGACGTCTGAGTTTGACCCCTCAAGGACCAGGTCAGGTCGCTCCTGGAAGGAACTGTAGCTTAGGATACACACGTATCCTCTAGGATCTGTGTCCATCCTGTAGACGTCTGGACCTGACGTCTGGACCGATCCTGGTCTTACATTCAGCCTCAGCGCCTGAAAACACAAAATGGAATTAAATATTTAGCTCAAATATATACAATGTATCTAACTACGCATCACAGAAAACGTAAACGTAAAAGTTATTTACAGAAAACGTAACATTTACTTGTATAACTGCATTAACTATTCTAAATTCTCCACACTATCACATACTAACTTTCCTAAGAGCTGAGGCTGATTCATTACCTCTGTAACTTGCCATGATTGTGACCAGATCTACCTGGAGTTCATTACCTTTGTAACTAGTTCAGCTATCATAACTTTGGGGTCCAGTCACTGGACCCATTATGTACCTTTGTAATCTTTTGACTACCACCCACAGGATGGGTATGTGGTGACTACCGCCCACAGGATGGGTATGTGGTGACTACCACCCATAGGATGGGTATGTGGTGACTACCACCCACAGGATGGGTATGTGGTGACTACCACCCATAGGATGGGTATGTTTGGTGACTACCGCCCACAGGATGGGTATGTGGTGACTACCACCCATAGGATGGGTATGTGGTGACTACCGCCCACAGGATGGGTATGTGGTGACTACCACCCACAGGATGGGTATGTGGTGACTACCACCCATAGGATGGGTATGTGGTGACTACCGCCCACAGGATGGGTATGTGGTGACTACCACCCATAGGATGGGTATGTGGTGACTACCACCCATAGGATGGGTATGGGGTACGTAATAAACACATTAAACGAAAACTGCAGTGCTAGGCGGTTATATACAGGCCTATTTTATTGAGATTTGACTGAATCAACGTTGATGTTCTTATGAGGCGCACCTTGGTGGCCACCAGACACGAACTTATTGTCAAGTGTAATAAACATTATCGATACTGTATAATAACCCTCATGGATACACAGATAAGATAAGATTTCGTTCTGATTTTTAACCCCGGAGGGTTAGCCAACCAGGATAACCCAAGAAAGTCAGTGCGTCATCGAGGACTGTCTAACTTATTTCCATTGTGGTCCTTAATCTTGTCCCCCAGGATGCGACCCACACCAGTCGACTAACACCCAGGTACCTATTTGCTGCTAGGTGAACAGGACAACAGGTGTAAGGAAACGTGTCGAAATGTTTCCACCCGCCGGGAATCGAACCCGGGCCCTCCGTGTGTGAAGCGGGAGCTTTAGCCACCAGGCCACCGGGCCACCACAGAAACAGGTATTTCATTGATCTGTCATTTCTACCCCCTTGTGGGATCCCAGTGTCAACTTGAACATTAAAATGGTATAAAATACCGACAGGTTGTTAGGTAAGACACATATGCAACAGTTAGGTATCTTTATTTCGAAACGTTTCGCCTACACAGTAGGCTTCTTCAGTCGAGTACAGAAAAGTTGATAGAAGCAGAAGAGACTTGAAGACGATGTAATCAGTCCATCACCCTTAAAGTTTTGAGGTGGTCAGTCCCTCAGTCTGGAGAAGAGCATTGTTCCATAGTATGAAACAATATGGAGATGAAGTGACAGGATGGAGCTTCATATAGCGCCAGGAGGTGAGTTCTTACCTCTCCTAGTGACCTACGTCTCACCTCTTGGCGCTATAAAAGCTCCATCCTGTCACTTCATCTCCATATTGTTTCAGACTATGGAACAATGCTCTTCTCCAGACTGAGGGACTGACCACCTCAAAACTTTAAGGGTGATGGACTGATTACATCGTCTTCAAGTATCTTCTGCTTCTATCAACTTTTCTGTACTCGACTGAAGAAGCCTACTGTGTAGGCGAAACGTTTCGAAATAAAGATACCTAAGTGTTGCATATGTGTCTTACCTAACAGCGTCAACTTGTTTACCTGAGGCAAGATTGCACCTATGTTCCACTCTCACTGACTTAGGTGTCTCGTAGCTTGACTGGTAACTCACTCAGCTCACACACTGACGTCCAGGGGTCGATCCCCGCTACGGGTGGTAACATTAGGACGTATGTCCTTAAGACACCTGCTGTCCCAGTTCACCCAGCAAGTACTATAAAGGTCTCTTTATGTGTTATGTACTTCTAAACGTACTGAGTCCCATTTATAAACATTGTATTATATAGAGTAAAGTTAATGGGAGGTCTACTGTACAGTGCAAGCGTTTTGCTCAGAGTAGAGCTTTATATGTACTAATTATAAAGCTCTACAAGCAATAGAGCTTTATATATACTAATTATAAAGCTCTACATACAGTAGAGCTTTATATATTCTAATTATCAAGCTCTACACAGGATAATAGACAACAAAAGCTTACTCTCTATAACCTAAAGCTCTTGTCTCTTAATTACTGTAGATAATAGAGCATTTCTTACCGCCTGGCTGTCTGCTGTAACAGCCAGCTCTCTAGAGCTCTCTGACACGCTGACTCCAGTTGATGTCTGCAGCTTTCTCTCTGCTGGCCTCTCCTGTAATGTTGATAACTTTAACTTTCAGTCTTAAAGCAGACTTTAATAATGACAGCTTTAACTCTCAGTCTTAAAGCAGACTTTAATAATGACAGCTTTAACTCTCAGTCTTAAAGCAGACTTTAATAATGACAGTCAGCTTTAACTTTCAGTCTTAAAGCAGACTTTAATAATGACAGTCAGCTTTAACTTTCAGTCTTAAAGCAGACTTTATTAATGACAGTCAGCTTTAACTCTCAGCCTTAAAGCAGACTTTAATAATGACAGTCAGCTTTAACTTTCAGTCTTAAAGCAGACTTTATTAATGACAGTCAGCTTTAACTTTCAGTCTTAAAGCAGACTTTATTAATGACAGTCAGCTTTAACTCTCAGCCTTAAAGCAGACTTTAATAATGACAGTCAGCTTTAACTTTCAGCCTTAAAGCAGACTTTAATAATGACAGCTTTAACTTTCAGCCTTAAAGCAGACTTTATTAATGACAGCTTTATCTTTCAGTCTTAAAGCAGACTTTAAGCAGCTTTAAGATAGATACTAACTACAAAATATATGAGGCAGCTTTAAAAATACACTTAATTTCGAAAAATAAATGGGAATGGCGTGAGAGTAGGCCTATCTCAACATGGGCCAGTAGGCCTACTATAATATTCAGGGTGTTTCAAAATAATGGACCAATTTTTAAAGTAAAATGCTTTGAAATTGAGTCATCATTTAGAAACAACCTGGGTATATCAAAAGTTCATTTTGACTTCTAATAAATAGACTAAAGACAGTAATTAGAAGAATTTTGAATAAATAAAGATTCTCGAGAATTTATTTTGAATTAGACACCTGTGTAGCACCTGGGTATTATTATTGTGTCTATGTTTCGCCCACCAGTGACTTGATGACTGATGAGTCTGAGGTTATCAGTCCCTCAGAATTGTAATTGTTGAATCTCGAAAATTTGGAAAAAAGAGGATTTTTGGGACATTTCTGAATGGACTGTCATTTTGACCTATGGTAATTATCCTTTATTGAATTATTTAGCTGCCACTCACAGGTACATAGATCACTAGTAACACTCACAGGTACATAGATCACTAGTAACACTCAGACGTACATAGATCACTAGTAACACTCAGACGTACATAGATCACTAGTAACACTCAGAGGCACACAGATCGCCATCCACACTCAGAGGCACACAGATCGTCAGCCACACTCAGAGGCACACAGATCGCCATCCACACTCAGACGCACACAGATCGCCATCCACACTCAGAGGCACACAGATCGCCAGCCACCCTCAGAGGCACACAGATCGCCATCCACACTCAGACGCACACAGATCGCCATCCACACTCAGAGGCACACAGATCGCCAGCCATTCTCAGAGGCACACAGATCGCCATCCACACTCAGAGGCACACAGATCGCCAGCCACACTCAGAGGCACACAGATCGCCAGCCATTCTCAGAGGCACACAGATCGCCAGCCACACTCAGAGGCACACAGATCGCCAGCCATTCTCAGAGGCACACAGATCGCCAGCCACCCTCAGACGCACACAGATCGCCAGCCACACTCAGAGGCACACAGATCGTCAGCCACACTCAGAGGCACACAGATCGCCAGCCACCCTCAGAGGCACACAGATCGCCAGCCACCCTCAGAGGCACACAGATCGCCAGCCACCCTCAGAGGCACACAGATCGCCAGCCACACTCAGAGGCACACAGTTCGCCAGCCACACTCAGAGGCACACAGATCGTCAGCCACACTCAGAGGCACACAGATCGCCAGCCACCCTCAGAGGCACACAGATCGCCAGCCACACTCAGAGGCACACAGATCGCCAGCCACACTCAGAGGCACACAGATCGCCAGCCACACTCAGAGGCACACAGATCGCCAGCCACACTCAGGGGCCCACACAGATCGCCAGCCACACTCAGAGGTACACAGATCGCCAGCCACACTCAGAGGCACACAGATCGCCAGCCACACTCAGAGGCACACAGATCGCCAGCCACACTCAGAGGCACACAGATCGCCAGCCACCCTCAGAGGCACACAGATCGCCAGCCACACTCAGAGGCACACAGATCGCCAGCCACACTCAGAGGCACACAGATCGCCAGCCACACTCAGAGGCACACAGATCGCCAGCCACACTCAGAGGCACACAGATCGCCAGCCACACTCAGAGGCACACAGATCGCCAGCCACCCTCAGAGGCACACAGATCGCCAGCCACACTCAGAGGCACACAGATCGCCAGCCACACTCAGAGGCACACAGATCGCCAGCCACACTCAGAGGCACACAGATCGCCAGCCACACTCAGAGGCACACAGATCGCCATCCACACTCAGAGGCACACAGATCGCCAGCCACACTCAGAGGCACACAGATCGCCAGCCATTCTCAGAGGCACACAGATCGCCAGCCACACTCAGAGGCACACAGATCGCCAGCCATTCTCAGAGGCACACAGATCGCCAGCCACCCTCAGACGCACACAGATCGCCAGCCACACTCAGAGGCACACAGATCGTCAGCCACACTCAGAGGCACACAGATCGCCAGCCACCCTCAGAGGCACACAGATCGCCAGCCACCCTCAGAGGCACACAGATCGCCAGCCACCCTCAGAGGCACACAGATCGCCAGCCACACTCAGAGGCACACAGTTCGCCAGCCACACTCAGAGGCACACAGATCGTCAGCCACACTCAGAGGCACACAGATCGCCAGCCACCCTCAGAGGCACACAGATCGCCAGCCACACTCAGAGGCACACAGATCGCCAGCCACACTCAGAGGCACACAGATCGCCAGCCACACTCAGAGGCACACAGATCGCCAGCCACACTCAGAGGCACACAGATCGCCAGCCCACTCAGAGGTACACAGATCGCCAGCCACACTCAGAGGCACACAGATCGCCAGCCACACTCAGAGGCACACAGATCGCCAGCCACACTCAGAGGCACACAGATCGCCAGCCACCCTCAGAGGCACACAGATCGCCAGCCACACTCAGAGGCACACAGATCGCCAGCCACACTCAGAGGCACACAGATCGCCAGCCACACTCAGAGGCACACAGATCGCCAGCCACACTCAGAGGCACACAGATCGCCAGCCACACTCAGAGGCACACATCGCCAGCCACCCTCAGAGGCACACAGATCGCCAGCCACACTCAGAGGCACACAGATCGCCAGCCACACTCAGAGGCACACAGATCGCCAGCCACACTCAGAGGCACACAGATCGCCAGCCACACTCAGAGGCACACAGATCGCCAGCCACACTCAGAGGCACACAGATCGCCAGCCACACTCAGAGGCACACAGATCGCCAGCCACACTCAGAGGCACACAGATCGCCAGCCACACTCAGAGGCACACAGATCGCCAGCCACCCTCAGAGGCACACAGATCGCCAGCCACACTCAGAGGCACACAGATCGCCAGCCACACTCAGAGGCACACAGATCGCCAGCCACACTCAGAGGCACACAGATCGCCAGCCACACTCAGAGGCACACAGATCGCCAGCCACACTCAGAGGCACACAGATCGCCAGCCACACTCAGAGGCACACAGATCGCCAGCCACACTCAGAGGCACACAGATCGTCAGCCACTCAGGTAATTACAGACAGACCTTGGCAAAGAGCTTAACGATGGCTTCTCTCTGTAAGTTAAGAGCTAGCTGTCGGGCCGTGGTGACCTCAAGTTCTGTCTCTACTAGTGACCCAGCTGGGTAGTCTGGGTCAGCACCCAGCCTTAACAGCTCCTGGGCCCGGCTTCTGTTGTCTCCCAGGACGGCCTCGAACAGCGGTACGGAAAGCTGGAACAACACATTCATTAGTTAGATGCTGATGGTTGTACACGGGATATATTATTATGTTCGGGTTTTTAACCCTGGAGAGTTAGCCACCCAGGATAACCCAGGGTAGGGAGTGTTAGTCACCCAGGATAACCCAGGGTAGGGAGTGTTAGCCACCCAGGATAACCCAGGGTAGGGAGTGTTAGTCACCCAGGATAACCCAGGGTAGGGAGAGTTAGCCACCCATGATAACCCAGGGTAGGGCAGGTTAGCCACCCAGGATAACCCAGGGTAGGGCAGGTTAGCCACCCATGATAACCCAGGGTAGGACAGGTTAGCCACCCATGATAACCCAGGGTAGGGAGTGATAGCCACCCAGGATAACCCAGGGTAGGGAGAGTTAGCCACCCATGATAACCCAGGGTAGGGAGAGTTAGCCACCAAGGATAACCCAGGGTAGGGAGAGTTAGCCACCCAGGATAACCCAGGGTAGGGAGAGTTAGCCACCCAGGGTAGGGCAGGTTAGCCACCCATGATAACCCAGGGTAGGACAGGTTAGCCACCCATGATAACCCAGGGTAGGGAGTGCTAGCCACCCAGGATAACCCAGGGTAGGGAGAGTTAGCCACCCATGATAACCCAGGGTAGGGAGAGTTAGCCACCCATGATAACCCAGGGTAGGGCAGGTTAGCCACCCATGATAACCCAGGGTAGGACAGGTTAGCCACCCATGATAACCCAGGGTAGGGAGTGCTAGCCACCCAGGATAACCCAGGGTAGGGAGTGCTAGCCACCCAGGATAACCCAGGGTAGGGAGTGCTAGCCACCCAGGATAACCCAGGGTAGGGAGTGCTAGCCATCCAGGATAACCCAGGGTAGGGAGTGCTAGCCACCCATGATAACCCAGGGTAGGGAGTGTTAGCCACCCAGGATAACCCAGGGTAGGGAGTGCTAGCCACCCATGATAACCCAGGGTAGGGAGTGCTAGCCACCCATGATAACCCAGGGTAGGGAGTGTTAGCCACCCAGGATAACCCAGGGTAGGGAGTGTTAGTCACCCAGGATAACCCAGGGTAGGGAGTGTTAGCCACCCAGGATAACCCAGGGTAGGGAGTGTTAACCACCCAGGATAACCCAGGGTAGGGAGTGTTAGCCACCCAGGAGAACCCAGGGTAGGGAGTGTTAGCCACCCAGGATAACCCAGGGTAGGGAGTGTTAGCCACCCAGGATAACACAGGGTAGGGAGTGTTAGCCACCCAGGATAACCCAGGTAGGGAGTGTAGCCACCCAGGATAACCCAGGGGAGGAGGTGTTAGCCACCCAGGATAACCCAGGGTAGGAGTGTTAGCCACCCAGGAACACCCAGGGTAGGAGTGTTAGCCACCCAGGATAACCCAGGTAGGAGTGTTAGCCACCCAGGATAACCCAGGGTAGGGAGTGTAAGTCCATCCCAGGATAACCAGGGTTAGGAGGGTTAGCCCACCCAGGATAACCCAGGGTAGGGTGTTAGCCACCCAGGATAAACCCAGGGTGGGAGTGTTAGCCACCCCAGGATAACCCAGGGTAGGAGTGTTAGCCACCCAGGATAACCCAGGGAGGAGTGTTAGCCACCCAGGATAACACCAGGGTAGGGAGTGTTAGCCACCCAGGATAACCCAGGGTAGGGAGTGTTAGCCACCCAGGATAACCCAGGGTAGGGTGTGTTAGCCACCCAGGATAACCCAGGGTAGGGAGTGTTAGCCACCCAGGATAACCCAAGGTAGGGAGTGTTAGCCACCCAGGATAACCCAGGGTAGGGAGTGTTAGCCACCCAGGATAATCCAGGGTAGGGAGTGTTAGCCACCCAGGATAACCCAAGGTAGGGAGTGTTAGCCACCCAGGATAACCCATGGTAGGGAGTGTTAGCCACCCAGGATAATCCAGGGTAGGGAGGGTTAGCCACCCAGGATAACCCAGGGTAGGGAGTGTTAGTCACCCAGGATAACCCAGGGTAGGGAGGGTTATCCACCCAGGATATCCCAGGGTAGGGAGTGTTAGCCACCCAGGATAACCCAGGGTAGGGAGTGTTAGCCACCCAGGATAACCCAGGGTAGGGAGTGTTAGTCACCCAGGATAACCCAGGGTAGGGAGTGTTAGCCACCCAGGATAACCCAGGGTAGGGAGTGTTAGCCACCCAGGATAACCCAAGGTAGGGAGTGTTAGCCACCCAGGATAACCCAGGGTAGGGAGTGTTAGCCACCCAGGATAACCCAGGGTAGGGAGTGTTAGCCACCCAGGATAACCCAGGGTAGGGAGTGTTAGCCACCCCAGGATAACCCAGGGTAAAGGGAGTGTTAGCCACCCAGGATAACCCAGGGTAGGGAGTGCTAGCCACCCAGGATAACCCAGGGTAGGGAGTGCTAGCCACCCAGGATAACCCAGGGTAGGGAGTGCTAGCCACCCAGGATAACCCAGGGTAGGGAGTGCTAGCCATCCAGGATAACCCAGGGTAGGGAGTGCTAGCCACCCATGATAACCCAGGGTAGGGAGTGCTAGCCACCCAGGATAACCCAGGGTAGGGAGTGCTAGCCACCCATGATAACCCAGGGTAGGGAGTGCTAGCCACCCATGATAACCCTGGGTAGGGAGTGTTAGCCACCAAGGATAACCCAGGGTAGGGAGTGTTAGTCACCCAGGATAACCCAGGGTAGGGAGTGTTAGCCACCCAGGATAACCCAGGGGAGGGAGTGTTAGCCACCCAGGATAACCCAGGGTAGGGAGTGTTAGCCACCCAGGATAACCCAGGGTAGGGAGTGTTAGCCACCCAGGATAACCCAGGGTAGGGAGTGTTAGCCACCCAGGCTAACCCAGGGTAGGGAGTGTTAGCCACCCAGGATAACCCAGGGTAGGGAGTGTTAGCCACCCAGGATAACCCAGGGTAGGGAGTGTTAGCCACCCAGGATAACCCAGGGTAGGGAGTGTTAGCCACCCAGGATAACCCAGGGTAGGGAGTGTTAGTCACCCAGGATAACCCAGGGTAGGGAGGGTTAGCCACCCAGGATAACCCAGGGTAGGGAGTGTTAGCCACCCAGGATAACCCAGGGTAGGGAGTGTTAGCCACCTAGGATAACCCAGGGTAGGGAGTGTTAGCCACCCAGGATAACCCAGGGTAGGGAGTGTTAGCCACCCAGGATAACCCAGGGTAGGGAGTGTTAGCCACCCAGGATAACCCAGGGTAGGGAGTGTTAGCCACCCAGGATAACCCAGGGTAGGGTGTGTTAGCCACCCAGGATAACCCAGGGTAGGGAGTGTTAGCCACCCAGGATAACCCAAGGTAGGGAGTGTTAGCCACCCAGGATAACCCAGGGTAGGGAGGGTTAGCCACCCAGGATAACCCAGGGTAGGGAGTGTTAGCCACCCAGGATAACCCAAGGTAGGGAGTGTTAGCCACCCAGGATAACCCAGGGTAGGGAGGGTTAGCCACCCGGATAAACCCAGGGGAAAGGGGGTGTTAGTCACCCAGGATAACCCAGGGTAGGGAGGGTTATCCACCCAGGATAACCCAGGGTAGGGAGTGTTAGCCACCCAGGATAACCCAGGGTAGGGAGTGTTAGCCACCCAGGATAACCCAGGGTAGGGAGTGTTAGTCACCCAGGATAACCCAGGGTAGGGAGTGTTAGCCACCCAGGATAACCCAGGGTAGGGAGTGTTATCCACCCAGGATAACCCAAGGTAGGGAGTGTTAGCCACCCAGGATAACCCAGGGTAGGGAGTGTTAGCCACCCAGGATAACCCAGGGTAGGGAGTGTTAGCCACCCAGGATAACCCAGGGTAGGGAGTGTTAGCCACCCAGGATAACCCAGGGTAGGGAGTGTTAGCCACCCAGGATAACCCAGGGTAGGGAGTGTTAGCCACCCAGGATGCCACCCACACCAGTCCACTAACACCCAGGATGCCACCCACACCAGTCCACTAACACCCAGGATGCCACCCACGCCAGTCCACTAACACCCAGGATGCCACCCACACCAGTCCACTAACACTCAGGATGCCACCCACACCAGTCCACTAACACCCAGGATGCCACCCACACCAGTCCACTAACACTCAGGATGCCACCCACACCAGTCCACTAACACCCAGGATGCCACCCACACCAGTCCACTAACACTCAGGATGCCACCCACACCAGTCCACTAACACCCAGGTTGCCACCCACACCAGTCCACTAACACCCAGGATGCCACCCACACCAGTCCACTAACACTCAGGATGCCACCCACACCAGTCCACTAACACCCAGGATGCCACCCACACCAGTCCACTAACACCCAGGATGCCACCCACACCAGTCCACTAACACCCAGGATGCCACCCACACCAGTCCACTAACACCCAGTCTGGAGAACAAGGTTCCCTGGAATAACATGCAAATCAACTTCCAGCTTTAAACTACGGTCGTGTTAAACTACAAGGGAATGTATCAGTGATGTACACAAATGCAGTTGAAATCACAAACACAAGTCGTAAATTAAATGGCAGAGTAACAGAGCAAGATGCTGACATTATAGCTGTCACAGAGACAACACTCTAGGATGATAACCAGTATATTATTCCTCAAGGGATACCTCATGGAGAGAACAGAGGTGGGATGGCACTTACCAAGTCTCTGTAAGTTCGGTTATTGTTGTCCTTCTTGTCGTGATTCAATTCCTCGTCTGCCATCAATATCCTCAACACCTGAGTGTGACCCTTCATGGCAGCCAGGTGAGCTGGTGTCTGACCTTCCTTGTTGACGATATTCGGGTTAATGAGTCTCAACAAGAAGAGCAGTATGTCAAGTTGACTGTAGGCAGCAGCAGTGTGCAAGAGTGTGCAATAGCTGCCCTCCTTCCTGATGGCAGGACCTGTGTCCTGCAGCAGCTCCTGCACAAGTTGCACGTTCCCTTCCTCTATTGCTCTGAACAACTCCACCTGAAGATGCAATAACAACGATAATAAAAGCTATACTGTATATATTAAACAGATATACCTATAAGACCTCAGTTAGCATATAAGATGGCTTCTTTAGTCCAGTATAGAGAAGAACAGTTGAAGATTAGGAGTTGAGGTGGTCAGTCCCTCAGCCTGAGGGACTGACCACCTCAAATACTATATCTCCAAGGTTAATGGACTGATAACATCATCTTCAATACACTACTACACCTGCTGCCTCTGTATGTGATTGACGAAGACTACTGTATGGGTGAAACGTTACATCAATAACGATACCTAAGAGTTGCACATGTGTCTTAGTCATCAACGCTCCGCAGATGTCACACAGGTGTTTCATTCTTCAAGGCCCAGTATCATTGTGTTGCCTCGGCTGATTTCCCCCTTATAAAGGTTTTTGCTACTGTAAAATTATTAAAATATACTTTTTATGGTTTTTTATAGACGAATATAATCTGCTCAGGCCATGGCGGGTTCAAATTGTCTTTTTGATAACTCGGGACACGATAGTTGAAGTGAATTCGGGACTCTGAGGAAGACTGCTTCGTCCAGGAGTGGAAGTTATTAAACATACAAAAACACTGATAGAAGAACTGTGTTTCGTCCAGTCCTGGACGAAACATCGGAGGGTTTAAGTGCATAGTGTCTCGCTCACTACCTGTCGGCTTAAGATATAATTTATCCTCCATAGACTGCCACGTTTAAGAGCAATAAGTCACAATACCGTGACTGGAACAACACATAAATAACCCACACATAAAAGAGAGAAGCTTAAGATGGCGTTTCGGTCCAACCTGGACCATTTACAAAGTCACACTGTGTGCGGATTATTTGTGAACCACGTTCAATTCTTCTGTGCACAGACAAGATAAGATAAGATAAGATTTCGTTCGGATTTTTAACCCCGGAGGGTTAGCCACCCAGGATAACCCAAGAAAGTCAGTGCGTCATCAAGGACTGTCTTAACTTATTTCCATTGTGGTCCTTAATCTTGTCCCCCAGGATGCCACCCACACCAGTCGACTAACACCCAGGTACCTATTTGCTGCTAGGTGAACAGGACAACAGGTGTAAGGAAACGTGTCGAAATGTTTCCACCCGCCGGGAATCGAACCCGGGCCCTCCGTGTGTGAAGCGGGAGCTTTAGCCACCAGGCCACCGGGCCACCCAGACATCTTAACTAAGCAACGCCTCAGTGTTACGAAGCTCTAACTGAATCACTGAGCGAGTCATGAACAAGACAATGGTGATTGTTTCCTGATGAATAAGACAGTAAGAAGCCTGAGAGGATCGTACCCGCTTGTCAGCAATGTAGAGAAGTTGATGGTTGGGGGACCTCTCGAGGAGCCTACGAGCAGCTGATCGGGTGGTCATGGGCTTGCAGTGACCAGGGCTCTTCTGTCTTGGTGTCAACATGAAGTCATGGAGCCTTGCTAGCAAGGCAGCTGTGTCCACTGACGAGGCATCAGTTTTGCATTTTTTCTGGATTTGGCTCATGGAAGTAGCTTCGTCGGGAGAGAGGTTTCTTTTAAAACTCAATGTAAAAGATGCGCTACAACTCTCGTACTCTGAAAGGTTGACATTACCCTCATTATTAGATGGCACTGAACACATTTTCTTCGCTGGTTTATCGTCTATACTATGTAATGAACTCGCAGTTCGTTTCCTTGTTGACAGAGTCACAATTCCACTTAAAGATAAGTCGATTATTCCTTCACTGTTGCTTTCCAGCGATGAAAAAGAATCATCAACAGATTTACTGGACGATCTATCAAGTGATGGCATCCCAGCTGGTGGAGACTGGCTGGATTTTTCTGATGTTGGTAAACAAACAGCTGGTGATGGATTTTTAGATCTTTCCAGCAATGGCAACTGGTTCTTGGATCTTTCCAGCACTGGCAACTGGTTCTTGGATCTTTCCAGCAATGGCAACTGGTTCTTGGATCTTTCCAGCACTGGCAACTGGTTCATGGATCTTTCCAGCACTGGCAACTGGTTCATGGATCTTTCCAGAACTGGCAATGGACTCTTGGATTTATCCAGAGTAAGTGATGGACTCCTGGACCTTTCAGGTGATGGTGACAAAGAATAATCTGGTGATGGACTCCTGGACCTTGCCAGTGATGGTGAAGACACAATAGAAAGTGATGGATTTTCGCAAATTTCCGATTCTGGCAAAAACCAAGAAGAAGGTAATGGCTTCCGAGATACTTTTAATGCTGATGCGACAACATAGTCTGGTGTTGGACTCCTGGACCTTTCTGGTATTGGTGTTGGACTCCTGGACCTTTCTGGTATTGGTTTTGTGCTCCTGGACCTTTCTAGTACTGGTGTTGGACTCCTGGACCTTTCTAGTATTGGTGTTGGACTCCTGGACCTTTCTAGTACTGTTGTTGGACTCCTGGACCTTCCTAGTATTGGTTTTGTACTCCTTGACCTTTCTAGTACTGGTGTTGGACTCCTGGACCTTTCTAGTATTGATGTTGGACTCCTGGACCTTTCTAGTATTGGTTTTGTACCCCTGGACCTTTCTAGTACTGTTATTAAACTCCTGGACCTTTCTAGTATTGGTTTTGTACCCCTGGACCTTTCTAGTACTGGTGTTGGACACTTGGATCTTTCTAGTACTGGTGGTGGACTCTTGGACCTTTCTAGTACTGGTGTTGGACTCCTGGATCTTTCTAGTACTGGTGTTGGACACTTGGAGCTTTCTAGTATTGGTGTTGGACTCCTGGACCTTTCTAGTACCTGTATTGGACTCCTGAACCTTTCTAGTACTGGTGCTGGACTCCTGGACCTTTCTATTATTGGTGTTGGGCTCCTGAACCTTTCTAGTATTGGTGTTGGACTCCTGGACCTTTCTAGTACTGGTGTTGGACTCCTGGACCTTTCTAGTATTGGTGTTGGACTCCTGGACCTTTCTAGTATTGGTGTTGAACTTCTGGACCTTTCTAGTACTGGTGTTGGACTCCTGGACCTTTCTAGTATTGGTGTTGGACTCCTGGATCTTTCTAGTACTGGTGTTGGGCTCCTGGACCTTTCTAGCATTGGTTTTGTACTCCTGGACCTTTCTAGTACTGGTGTTGGACTCCTGGACCTTTCTAGTACTGGTGTTGGACTCCTGGACCTTTCTAGTACTGGCGTTGTACTCCTGGACCTTTCTAATACTGTTGTTGGACTCCTGGACCTTTCTAGTACTGTTGTTGGACACCTGGACCTTTCTAGTACTGGTGTTGGACACCTGGACCTTTCTAGTACTGGTGTTGGACACCTGGACCTTTCTAGTATTGGTGTTGGACTCCTGAGCCTTTCTAGTACTGGTGTTGGACACCTGGACCTTTCTAGTACTGGTGTTGGACACCTGGACCTTTCTTGTACTGGTGTTGGACTCCTGGACCTTTCTAGTACTGGTGTTGGACTCCTGGACCTTTCTAGTACTGGTGTTGGACTCCTGGCCCTTTCTAGTATTGGTGTTGGACACCTGGACCTTTCTAGTATTGGTGTTGGACTCCTAGCCCTTTCTAGTACTGGTGTTGGACTCCTGAACTTTTCTAGTATTGATGTTGGGCTCCTGGACCTTTCTAGTATTGGTGTTGGGCTCCTGGACCTTTCTAGTATTGGTGTTGGACTCCTGGGCCTTTCTAGTATTGGTGTTGGACTCCTGGACCTTTCTAGTATTGGTGTTGGACTCCTGGACCTTTCTAGTATTGGTGTTGGACACCTGGACCTTTCTAGTATTGGTGTTGGACTCCTGGCCATTTCTAGTACTGGTGTTGGACTCCTGAACCTTTCTAGTACTGATGTTGGGCTCCTGGACCTTTCTAGTATTGGTGTTGGGCTCCTGGCCCTTTCTAGTATTGGTGTTGGACTCCTGGACCTTTCTAGTATTGGTGTTGGACTCCTGGACCTTTCTAGTATTGGTGTTGGGCTGCTGGACCTTTCTAGTATTGGTGTTGAACTCCTGGACCTTTCTAGTATTGGTGTTGGACTCCTAGACCTTTCTAGTATTGGTGTTGGACTCCTGGACCTTTCTAGTACTGGTGTTGGAGTCCTGGACATTTCTACTACTGATGTTGGGCTCCTGGACCTTTCTAGTATTGATGTTGGACTCCTGGACCTTTCTAGTATTGGTGTTGGACTCCTGGATCTTTCTAGTATTGGTGTTGGGCTCCTGGACCTTTCTAGTATTGGTGTTGGACTCCTGGATCTTTCTAGTATTGGTGTTGGGCTCCTGGACCTTTCTAGTATTGGTGTTGGGCTCCTGGACCTTTCTAGTATTGGTGTTGGACTCCTGGATCTTTCTAGTATTGGTGTTGGACTCCTGGATCTTTCTAGTATTGGTGTTGGACTCCTGGACCTTTCTAGTATTGGTGTTGGACTCCTGGACCTTTCTAGTATTGGTGTTGGGCTCCTGGACCTTTCTAGTACTGGTGTTGGACTCCTGGACCTTTCTAGTACTGGTGTTGGACTCCTGGAGTCTTCCAGTACAGGTGTTGGATCCCTGGATGTTTCCAGTGTTTCTGAGGATAGAGAAGATAGTGATAGGGTCCTGCATCTTTCCAGAGTTGGTAGAAATAAATATGCTGGTGATCTGGTGTAAGATCGTGTTATTAGGGAGTCTTCACCAGCTGGGGGATACTGGAACCGTCTTTCTTTTTCTGGTGATGGACTCTTCAAACCTTCCAGGGATAATGATGGAATCTTTGAGTTTTCCAGTGTTTTTGATGAGGTCCTTGATCTTTCCAGTGATGTTGATGAAGTCCTTGATCTTTCCAGTGTTGGTGATGAAGTAGCTGATCGTTCCAGTACTGTTGATGGAGTACGGGATCTTTCCAGTACTGGTGATGGAGTCCTGGAGTGTTTTTGTGATGGTGATGGAGTCTTAGATATTTCTAGTACTGGTGAAGGGGTCCTGCAGTGTTCTAGTACTGGTGAGGGCGTCCTGAATCTTCCTAGTACTGGTGAGGGGGTCCTGCCGTGTTCCAGTACTTCTAAGGGCGCCCCGGATCTTTTTAGTACTGGTGAGGGGGTCCTGCAGTGTTCCAGTACTGTTGATGCCTCACTAATCATGTTTAGACTAGTGGGTTCTCCTGTATTTCTATAAGTCAACAACACAGGAGATGATTCCTTCACTGTACCCGAGTCCGACACATAATGACTGACAGACAGACCAGTGAATGTACCTGTCGGTGGAGACAGAACAGTGGTGTTTGTTGGAGGTGAACATTTCACAGTGACACCTCCTTTCTCTGTTTGCCCGGGTAGGAGAACTCTTAATGGGGAACACTTCTCTGGAGATTGTATGGTTTCAGATGTACTAATTTCTGATTTATTTAAAGATGTGTTTACTTCATTCTGCAGCGCGTTGTTGGTCTCGAGTGAAAGGGAACTATTAGACCATCCCATTTTGGGTGAGTGCATAAATTCATCTACTGAATACTGGCTGTTGAATCCCTCACCTGGTGGAGTGTGTATGAATGCATCCACCTGTAGTAAGCTTCCTAAAGGCTCGCTCAACACATCCACCGGAGATGGACTTCTAGACTCCTGGTTACTCTGATAAAACCCAAGGAAAGAGACTGGAGTCTCAGAAGACAGGTGAGAAGACGGTGAGAGTGGAGCTTGACTAGTGGTGGGAGAATGACCCACGTTGGGCAGACAAACAGAGTCTTTGGTATCCGACACTTGGGGCTCTGGAGTGAGCACACTGCCGTCTTGTGGAGTTGGATTAAACATTTTCAAAGGTGAAGGAGAATTCTCTTCTTCATTGGGATATGAACTGGAGGAACTTCTTCCTGGAAATCTGTCGTTTTGCCTATTGTGTAACTCATGTGTTTGAAACTGGCGTTCACGACTTGCTTTCGAACGTTTATAGGAACGATTTCTTCTCCGATTTATTCTCCAAGATGGAACAGTTAGTTTTGATGGACTCCACGACCACATGCCACGAAGTGTGTGGGTATGTGTAATCCTTTCAGTTGGACTCCAGGACCATCCACTGGTCCAATTGTCGGCTGGAAAGGATCCTTCAGAGGGGCTACAAGCCCATCCATTAGCTGGCAAAAATCCTTCACTGCTACTCCATGACCATCTCCCTCCCCAGGGGTTGGCAGGACGGCACCCTTCAGAGGGACTCCAAGACCATCCATTCCAGATGGTGTCGGATGTCACAGCCTCTTCAAAAGGACACCAGGTCCACCCTGTCTCAGGCTTCCATAACCATCCACTCACCCTCACGGTTTCCGAACCCGGAGGATTCACTTCTCCGGCTTCACGAACGCCCCGACCTTCCACACTCACCTGAGAGAGATCACGGGTACATATAAGACTCACAGAACATAATTACCATAGAAATAATGTAACATAACGCTGTCAAAAACGTGAAAATGTGGGTTGGCAGACATAGCCAGCTGGTGGAGAAGCAAGATGGGTGAATTTGCAAGACATGGACAGCCTATCGAAGCCTCTATGACTGTCCAGACAGTCCTTGTTAACTATGCTAAGCATGCTATTGCAGAAAGTAAATGATAATAATAATAATAATAATAATAATAATAATAATAATAATAATAACAATAATAATAGTAATCGGTGAGTACAGGATGCTTAGCTATGGTGCCATTGCTCTAATTTTCACCTGATTTCACATAATTATTGCCTGATTTCATCAGATTTTCAACTTGTTTTTACCAGATTTCACTTGACTTCCGAATTATATCATGTTAACTTTCCGCGCTTTCCCGATTTAGCCCTAAATGCACATGTCACATCTGTTAATCTGATTTCAACTGATTTCACCTGAACTCCACCTAATCTCATTTTGCCACATGATCTCACTTTAGGGTCATCCAATTTCAACAGATTTCCATCCGATTTCAACAGATTTCCATCCGATTTCAACAGATTTTCATCCGATTTCAAGAGATTTACACTTTTCAAAAGATTTTCCTCTAATTATAACAGATTTTACAAGATTCCGTCTGATTTCATCATATTTGCTGCAGATTTCTCCCTAATACAGTTTGATTTCACCTGATTTTTACCCTGTTGCACCCGATTATTACCTAATTTCAACCGATTTCACACGATTCCAACAGATTTTCAATCGGTTTCACCTGAATGCAGTATGATTTCACTCGATTTTTACCATATTACGCCCGATTTTTACATAATTTCAACAGATTTTACCCGATTTCACATGTCTGCAGTCTGAATTTACCCGATTTTGTACCCAATTACACCTGATTGTCGCCTATCTTTACCTAATTTCTACTTACCTCACTAGCGTGGATCAGATTTAAGTCCATCTTAGTTTAGTCACCCCTCAACTCAGCTCCTGAAAATGGGAAGACGACCATTAGAAAACGGAATGTAAACAAGTCTGGAAGGTCAACAGAAATGGTAAGGTACAGAAAACGGGAATGTAAACTTAAACGGGAAAATAAAGAAAATGGGAAAGTAAAAAACGGGAAGGTAAACAAAAATGGGAAGATAAAGAAAACGGAAAGGTAAAAAACGGGAAGATAAAGAAAACGGAAAGGTAAGAAAAAACTGGAAAATAAATATAATGGGAAAGTAAATGGGAAGGTAAACAAAAATGGGAAGATAAAGAAAACGGAAAGGTAAAAAACGGGAAGATAAAGAAAACGGGAAGGTAAACAAAAACGAGAAGATAAAGAAAACGGGAAGGTAAAAGAGTGAAGGCTAAATATTAGAAAATGGAATTTTCACCACCGGAATATATTATTATTTTATCCAATTAAATACATATTTGAGGGACTGACCACCTCAAAACTAAGTTTTCAAGGCTGACGGACTGATGACATCGTCTTCACATCTCTACTACTAAAGTTGCGTCTACTGTGTAGACGCAACGTTTCGGAATAATGATACGTGACTGTTGTAGATGTGTCTTACTAAGTGGTCTGTGATAGTGTTGGTGTTACTATAGGACAGCCCAGGAGCTGTGACTCGACCCCTGCAAGCAATACTAGGTGAGTACACGTACTGGTAGTTGTAATAGTGACCTGGCAGTGAAGCAGGCAGTGGAGCAGGCAGTGGAGCAGGCAGTGAACCAGGCAGTGAACCAGGCAGTGAACCAGGCAGTGGAGCAGGCAGTGAAGCAGGCAGTGAACCAGGCAGTGGAGCAGGCAGTGGAGCAGGCAGTGAACCAGGCAGTGGAGCAGGCAGTGAACCAGGCAGTGGAGCAGGCAGTGAAGCAGGCAGTGGAGCAGGCAGTGAACCAGGCAGTGAACCAGGCAGTGGAGCAGGCAGTGGAGCAGGCAGTGGAGCAGGCAGTGAACCAGGCAGTGGACCAGGCAGTGAACCAGGCAGTGAACCAGGCAGTGAACCAGGCAGTGAACCAGGCAGTGGAGCAGGCAGTGAAGCAGGCAGTGAACCAGGCAGTGGAGCACGCAGTGAACCAGGCAGTGGAGCAGGCAGCGGACCAGGCAGTGAACCACACAGTGGAGCAGGCAGTGAACCAGGCAGTGAACCACACAGTGGACCAGGCAGTGAACCAGGCAGTGAACCACACAGTGGACCAGGCAGTGGACCAGGCAGTGGAGCGGGCATTGGAGCAGACAGTAAACCAAGGCAGGGAACCACGCAGTGGACCAGGCAGTGAACCACACAGTGGACCAGGCAGTGGACCATACAGTGAACCAGGCAGTGGACCACACAGTGAACCAGGCAGTGAACCACACAGTGAACTAGGCAGTGAACCACACAGTGAACTAGGCAGTGGGCCACACAGTGAACCAGGCAGTGGACCACACAGTGAACCAGGCAGTGGACCACACAGTGAACCAGGCAGTGGACCACACAGTGAACCAGGCAGTGGGCCACACAGTGAACCAGGCAGTGGATCACACAGTGAACCAGGCAGTGGGCCACACAGTGAACCAGGCAGTGGACCACACAGTGAACCAGGCAGTGGACCACACAGTGAACCAGGCAGTGGACCACACAGTGAACCAGGCAGTGGGCCACACAGTGAACCAGGCAGTGGATCACACAGTGAACCAGGCAGTGGGCCACACAGTGAACCAGGCAGTGGACCACACAGTGAATCAGGCAGTGGACCACACAGTGAACCAGGCAGTGGGCCACACAGTGAACCAGGCAGTGGACCACACAGTGAATCAGGCAGTGGACCACACAGTGAACCAGGCAGTGGACCACACAGTGAACTAGGCAGTGGGCCACACAGTGAACCAGGCAGTGGGCCACACAGTGAACCAGGCAGTGGACCACACAGTGAATCAGGCAGTGGGCCACACAGTGAACCAGGCAGTGGACCACACAGTGAACCAGGCAGTGGGCCACACAGTGAACCAGGCAGTGGGCCACACATTGAACCAGGCAGTGGGCCACACAGTGAACCAGGCAGTGGGCCACACAGTGAACCAGGCAGTGCACCACACAGTGAACCAGGCAGTGGGCCACACAGTGAACCAGGCAGTGGACCACACAGTGAACCAGGCAGTGCACCACACAGTGAACCAGGCAGTGCACTACTCAGTGAACCAGGCAGTGCACTACACAGTGAACCAGGCAGTGGGCCACACAGTGAACCAGGCAGTGGGCCACACAGTGAACCAGGCAGTGGACCACACAGTGAACCAGGCAGTGGACCACACAGTGAACCAGGCAGTGGACCACACAGTGAACCAGGCAGTGGACCCCACAGTGAACCAGGCAGTGGACCACACAGGGAACCAGGCAGTGGACCACACAGTGAACCAGGCAGTGGACCACATAGTGCACCACACAGTGAACAGGCAGTGGACCACATAGTGAACCAGGCAGTGCACTACACAGTGAACCAGGCAGTGGGCCACACAGTGAACCAGGCAGTGGACCACACAGTGAACCAGGCAGTGCACTACACAGTGAACCAGGCAGTGGGCCACACAGTGAACCAGGCAGTGGACCACACAGTGAACCAGGCAGTGGACCACACAGTGAACCAGGCAGTGGACCACACAGTGAACCAGGCAGTGCACTACACAGTGAACCAGGCAGTGGGCCACACAGTGAACCAGGCAGTGGACCACACAGTGAACCAGGCAGTGCACTACACAGTGAACCAGGCAGTGGGCCACACAGTGAACCAGGCAGTGGACCACACAGTGAACCAGGCAGTGGACCACACAGCGAACCAGGCAGTGGACCACATAGTGAACCAGGCAGTGCACTACTCAGTGAACCAGGCAGTGGGCCACACAGTGAACCAGGCAGTGGACCACACAGTGAACCAGGCAGTGGACCACACAGTGAACCAGGCAGTGGACCACACAGTGAACCAGGCAGTGGGCCACACAGTGAACCAGGCAGTGGACCACACAGTGAACCAAGCAGTGGACCACACAGTGAACCAGGTAGTGGGCCACACAGTGAACCAGGCAGTGGGCCACACAGTGAACCAGGCAGTGGGCCACACAGTGAACCAGGCAGTGGGCCACACAGTGAACCAGGCAGTAGACCACACAGTGAACCAGGCAGTGGACCACACAGTGAACCAGGCAGTGGGCCACACAGTGAACCAGGCAGTGGGCCACACAGTGAACCAGGCAGTTCACCACACAGTGAACCAGGCAGTGGACCACACAGTGAACCAGGCAGTGGGCCACACAGTGAACCAGGCAGTGGACCACACAGTGAACCAGGCAGTGGGCCACACAGTGAACCAGGCAGTGGGCCACACAGTGAACCAGGCAGTGGGCCACACAGTGAACCAGGCAGTGGGCCACACAGTGAACCAGGCAGTGGACCACACAGTGAACCAGGCAGTGGGCCACACAGTGAACCAGGCAGTGGGTCACACAGTGAACCAGGCAGTGGACCACACAGTGAACCAGGCAGTGGGCCACACAGTGAACCAGGCAGTGGACCACACAGTGAACCAGGCAGTAGACCACACAGTGAACCAGGCAGTGGGCCACACAGTGAACCAGGCAGTGGGCCACACAGTGAACCAGGAAGTGGGCCACACAGTGAACCAGGCAGTGGGCCACACAGTGAACCAGGCAGTGGGCCACACAGTGAAAGGCTTGGCCTTGGCCACTCCCTAATGTATCTTTTACTCTCTTCTGTCCAATTAATATTCTCTCACAGCCTCCTTGCTTGTACACCTGTGCACTTATGTGCACAAATGAGCACCATACACACACGGTGCACACACACCTGTACACACACAGCTTATGCTGTGTGTATCTCGTTCACATCACTGTGGATACCCGGTGAGGGTTTTTAGGGGATCAACGCCCCCGCGGCGTGGTGTGTGACCAGGCCTCGTGGTGGATCAGGGCCTGATCAAACAGGCTGTTACTGTTGGCCGCACATAAACCAACATAACCACAGTCCGGCTGGTCAGGTACTGACTTTAGGTGTCTGTCCAGTGCCTTCTTGAAGACAGCCAGGGGTCTTGAAGACAGCCAGGGGTCTTGAAGACAGCCAGGGGTCTTGAAAACAGCCAGGGGTCTTGAAGACAGCCAGGGGTCTTGAAGACAGCCAGGGGTCTTGAAAACAGCCAGGGATCTTGAAGACAGCCAGGGGTCTTGAAGACAGCCAGGGGTCTTGAAGACAGCCAGGGGTCTTGAAGACAGCCAGGGGTCTTGAAGACAGCCAGGGGTCTTGAAGACAACCAGGGGTCTTGAAGACAGCCAGGAGTCTTGAAGACAGCCAGGGGTCTTGAAGACAGCCAGGGGTCTTGAAGCACGGTCTGATGACAGCCAGGGGTCTTGAAGACAGCCAGGGGTCTTGAAAACAGCCAGGGGTCTTGAAGACAGCCAGGGGTCTGGATGACAGCCAGGGGTCTTGAAGACAGCCAGGGGTCTTGAAAACAGCCAGGGGTCTTGAAGACAGCCAGGGGTCTGGATGACAGCCAGGGGTCTTGAAGACAGCCAGGGGTCTTGAAGACAGCCAGGGGTCTTGAAGACAGCCAGGAGTCTTGATGACAGCCAGGGGTCTTGAAGACAGCCAGGGGTCTTGAAGACAGCCAAGGGTCTTGAAGACAGCCAGGGGTCTTGAAGACAGCCAGGGGTCTTGAAGACAGCCAGGGGTCTTGAAGACTGCCAAGGGTCTTGAAGACAGCCAAGGGTCTTGAAGACAGCCAGGGGTCTTGATGACAGCCAGGGGTATTGAAGACAGCCAGGAGTCTTGATGACAGCCAGGGGTCTTGAAGACAGCCAGGAGTCTTGATGACAGCCAGAGGTCTTGAAGACAGCCAGGGGTCTTGAAGACAGCCAGGGATCTTGAACACAGCCAGGGGTCTTGAAGACAACCAGAGGTCTTGAAGACACCCAGGGGTTATTGGTAATCCCCCTTATGTAC